CCTAATTCAGTGCGAATTCCGTGAGCAGACTTTTCATTATTTTATTTTTAATCATACTCATACTCCATTTATTCTGTGGTAGAATAATTGGAAAAACGGTTCAAAGTAAATTTCCTACCTGGCAAAGTGAATAGAGCCCCTCACCCCTACCCTCCACCCCCGACCCCAAACCAGGAATTTATCTTTTATAGTTTTGGGTCTTAGATAACGCCTACCGTGGATCCCAAGTACTCGCTCTCATTGCAGTCAGGCCTTCATCCTGTTCAAAAATCCTATTTTCTCCTTTAGCTACCATCTATTTTTATCCACACTGCTTCTGTTCAAACTCGGTGTTGTTTTTTTTTTTTGTTTGTTTCTGTTGTTTTTTTATCCCCCCTCACAGACCCAAAGCCTTCACTTCTTCCTGGTTTCTGTCACATCACTTTTAATATGAACTTACATTGTGATGGTCTAGGTTCATAGAAGTCCCAGTTACCACTTTGCTAAGTGACCTTGAGTAGGTGACTTAATCTCTCTGAGTCTATAAAAAGGGGTGTGCTTTTGTGTGTACACGTGTATTTTTTATTGAGATAAAGGCCATAGCAACATACCTTGACATATAGGAACCCTCATAACCTTAATAGGAAGGCATCTGATGCATTAGCCTTTGCTTTGTAACAAATCACATCAAAATTGAGTGATTTTACAGTAATTCAGTGTCGGATTCTGCTGGTCAGTTCTGGTCTCACTTAGACATGGCTGATCTCATACAGTTGTGGCCAGTTGGTTGGCTAGCGTGTGACCTAAGTCACGTTGGGTGGACGGTTGGTCATCTGCCGTAGCAGTTGGAATGACCAGACATGTGTCTTGTCATTACACCAAGTCCATTCTTTCCAAGAATATCGAGTCTTCAGCCACAGTCCTGGCTCTCCTCACCCCATTTCCACCTGCACCCTGTTCTGTATCTGTCTTACTGCTTCTCAGATGGAGTTTTGCCAGCTCCTAGTCTTCATTCCTGTCTCCTGATAACAAGGCTGTGTCTGAATCATCTGCATTCTGAGTAGACAGTACAACTTGGTCAAACTTGGGACCAGCAGATGTGCGTAATGGTTACATTGCTGGACTCCCACATGGCTGACCGTAGTTCAAGTCCCGGACCCAGTAGCTTCAAACTTATGCCGGAAATGTTTGTGCCCAAAATCCTGAGAGGAGAATGGAGGAGAAGGGATTGCGGTGTGGCCATCCTCCCCAGGGGGTGGGGTGTGGGGTGGTGATTTCCTACTTTCTGTCTCTCTCTGGCAAGCACATGTGCCCTCTTGCAAAAATCTTTCTTAAAAAAAAAATAAGATGAACCTATGTGTACATAAAAATCCCTACCTGTTGGATTATCTCACACATCTTTACCCCTAGTCCTTTGGTATTCACTTTTATCTGCTAGCTACTTTGAAGTCCATTTTACATCTTGAATTTTGAGAAGTTTAGAGATTGTTTTTGGTATTGATTTATAAGAAATGTCAAAGTAAAATTTTATATCGAAGCTTATAGCTAATCTAACATTCTCTCTTGTCTTAAATGAATTCTTCTCTAAATGTCTACAGTGACATTGAAAAGCTATGACTAGCATTTTAATGCTATTAATTAAATACCATAAGATTTGGTTCCTTGGTTGTACATATTATTTTGGGGGTAGATTTGTAATTACTAAATTGGTAAGAAAATACTGTGGCTGTTATCTCAGCCCACCCACATCTATACTAGTCTTGGTATATAAAATGCAATGTTTTACATGACCAAGGAAGAAAAAATTTCTAGTTCCGAGCTCTTCATTTCTGATACAACAGTGCTTGCAGGAAAGGATGATAAGCACAAAGTTACCGAAGAAAGCAATTGCCTATGTATTTTTTTACTTTTGCCCATTCTATTTTACTTTCTAACTTTTTTTGGGGGGGGCTATTAAATGAATAATGATTAATTATTGCTTCTTTTCTTTTTTTTTTCTTAAACTTTATACAAGTCACAGTTCAGAGTTTAAGAAGAGTTGAAATACCATAATGCAGTAAATTATGCAGGTTAGTGTGATAGGGGTAAAAAAAAAAACCTCATCTGAGCCTCAGAGAACTAAATTCTAATCCTGACTTTGCTATTGACTTCCTGATGACCTTGGAAAAATTTAACTTCATGCTCACTCAGTCAGTTGTGCTTGATAATCTTTAAGGTTTCTCTCTAGTTCTGAAATCCTATACTGTTTGTCTTAAGTCCACATCTGTCTGAGACTTAGCAGGAAATCGCACAGGTGAGCACCAGTGTTTAAAATGAAAGAACTGGATATACTTATTAGGACATTTAATACCTGCAAGGTTAATAACACGCAGTGGGCACATGGAGAAGAAATACTTGGGATTCATGTGGAAGCTGCTGTTCGTCAAGGGGGCAAAGCGGGGAGGATTACCGGAGTACGATGTGCAAACGCGCAGAAGCCAGAATGAATGTAAACACGGCAAATTCCACAGCCAGCTTGCTGTGCCCGGAGTGTGTGGTATTCGGAAAGCATCCCAGGGCTGGTAAGCTCTCCGTGGGGTTGAGTGCTCTAGGTAAAGCATACCTCTAAAAATAAAAACAAACGTTCACAGCTTTCTTAATATTTTCCGGCTTCAGTAGGAAGTTATGTTTTCTTTTCAGAGATGTTTTGTATGAAAATGTACTTGGAAGCACTAATTCCTCCTCTTCGCCTGGAGGGATCTGTCCCTCCCCCCCCCCCCCCCCCGTGTGCCCGATCGGATGCACACGCACTGCCTCTCCCCTGGTGATACTCTCCGGGGAGAAGACTGGCACCTTGGATAGGGTTCCTTTGGTACAAGTGTTATGAGTCTGGAAAGCAGGTGGTTTTTTGGTTTGTTTTGTCAGATTGAAATATCTTATTACCTGTACTGCACACAAGAGTAAGCAAACTTGCAGGCTTTCTTATAAGTCCCTAATTTTTTAAAATACAATGGATTTATTTTGGAATTATTTGATGATCATTGTTATTAAATTTGCTATAGGACCGACATGCTCATCAGAGAGAGAGAAAGTGAAAAAGCAAGTCACCAGGTTCAGGATTCAAACCGTGGTTGGCCATGTGGGAGTCCAGTGCCTTAACCAGTGTAGCACCTGCTGGCCCGAGGGCTGTGATTTGTGAACTGCGTTTCATGTCTCAGTCAGTGCTGTTCAGTAGAATGTTTTGCACCACGGGAAAGTTCTGCCTCATTCTGGTGCAGTCACGAGACTTTGGTGGCCGCTGACCATTGGCAGTGTGGCTAGTGTGACAGAAGCTGAATTTTATATTTTATTTAGTTCTAATTAATATACATTTCAATAGTACCATGAGGCTAGTGGCTTTTTTTTTTTTTTGCTCAGGTCTGGATTTTCTTCTCTGTTGATTTAGATCCTTGTAACTATTATACTTAAAAAATACTTTGAATTAAGTAAAGATATACACCTTTTGTTTACACATTTAGAGAAACATTTTGAATGGCTTTTAATTGGCAGTTTTGTAAAATGAGAATTATAGGAGAAAAGAAATTTGAGTGGTAAGGTCTGTTCTTTAATGTGAATTATTTGAAGTGTTTCCTATGGTAAGAAAAATGCTGGGCGGGAGCGAGTTTAGTCCAGGCAGTTGTCTTGCCACAAAGGCTTTCCTTGGTCTTCACGTCTCATATTCAGATCGCTCAGCATATGCCTGTCCACCATCAGCAGAGTTCACCCAGCATGCACCTGTGCACCGTCAGCACAGATGTCACCCAGCATGCACCTGTCCTCCGTCAGCACAGACTGTCACCCAGCATGCACCTGTCCTCCGTCAGCACAGACTGTCACCCAGCATGCACCTGTCCTCCATCAGCACAGACTGTCACCCAGCATGTACCTGTCCAACTTCAGCACAGGCTCACCCAGCATGCACCTGTCTTCCGTCAGCACAGACTCACCCAGCATGCACCTGTCCACCGTCAGCAGACTCACCCAGCATGCACCTCTCCACCGTCAGCACAGACTGTCACCCAGCATGTATCTGTCCACCATTACCACAAATCGTCACCCAGCATGCACCTGTCCACTGTCAACACAAACTGTCACCTAACACGCACCTGTCCACCATTACCACAGATTGTCACCCAGCACACACCTGTTCACCATCAGCAGATTGTCAAGGGTATTTTAGTGGTCAGAGGAATTTTGTCTGTCTTTTTGATGACATACAGGGATATAGTTTATCTATTTTAACCAACTTCTAGGTTCTAATCTATGTTGCCAGTTTAGTAGACAGTTATTAAAACCAAGTTCTAGAAAGAGGTTGAAACTTATATGTATTCTAATTTGATAGGAAAATTGAAGAAATCAAGAATATGGAATTTCACTGAGAATCATTTCTTTTCTTCTATTAGAAATTAATGACTAAGCAATATTACTTGGAGAATCACATTACTTTCTGTAACAGTTTTGAGGGTAGATGATTCAAAGGTAATGAATTATAGTCAACATTATGTTTTCCAGTAGTCCTTTTTAATATAGTTATAGAAATTTCAGTCAGTTTTCATCTCTGGGCGAGTTAAAGGGGTATTAATGAGGTTGAAATCTTATATAACTCTGTCTTACCTTTTAAAAGTCTTTTCTGACAAAATATATAAGACTGCTACCTACTGGGCTAATGAGGCACTTAAAAAAATGTGTGTGTGTGTGTGTGTGTGTATAGTACTTACTAACAGAAAATGAAACCATTTTGAGTTATTTTTTTTCTCTTAATGCTTTTGTAATTTATCCAGTGTTTAAAAAAATCATTAAAGTGAGAAAATGTAAGCTGTGTTGTTATTTGTAAATAAAATAATTAACCATACCTGGGATCTAAAATGTCTTTAGTAATTATATTTTTGTCCCTTGAGGAGCAGCTGCACGTTTGCTCCGACTTTCATGAGAATGTGGTTGTAATTACACCGTTCTCTAATGAACTTCGTTTGCTGAGATAATAAAGCGTTGTCCTTTTACAGGTCTCATCACAACTACATCAAGGAAACTGGACCGCGAGCAGCAAGATGAACACATCCTAGAAGTAAGCATTTCTTTAGATGCAATGATTTAAAAAATAATTGTCGTTTAAATATCACAGGAACAAACTATGTTGTTCCCATTTGCCAGTATTCATAGCTCTTAGTCTTTTATTTTATTAGCTTCTAGTCATTAGTTGGAAAATGTTAGGAATATACTTGATGCGCCCCCTTAGCCCTCATTCTGTCCCTTGAGTACCTGACCACTATCACAAGTTCTGTTCTCATTTTTATTCTTTATACAGGCAAACGTTCAGCAATACAGTATTTTCTGTATTTATATTGTATTTATAGACAGTATTTGGGTTGTATTTTTATTTATAGAAGCAGTATTTTTCTATATATCATCTATATCTTTTTTTCCTAGGGTTAGATTTCTGAAATGTATTTTATTTATACGGGTATTTATAGATCTAATTCAGCCTTTTAACTCTACGTAGCATGTGTCCAGCTTTTTTCTCCTAAATAGTTGCATTACTTACACATTTTAAACTATGAATTATTTAGTACTTTCTTAAAAGAGATTTTTTGCTATAGAGTGCATGCGGTCAACAGAGAGACAGAAAGCGAGAAATCACACCCCCTACCCCCGGAAATGGCCATTCCACAATCCTTTCTCCTCTCAGGATTTTGGGCACGCACACACATTCACCCAATGTGAATTTTTAAGTTGCTGGTCCAGGACGTGAAGTTCAGCCGAATACGTAGGAGTCCAGCGTCATAACTGTGACACCATCTGCTGGTCCTTACATCTGAGTTTTTAATTCATAGGTTGGGTAGCGTCCTTGAATTCGTTTTCTTGTATGCTAGGCAGAGTTTTGAATTTTCACTTAGTGACTGTAGGGATCGATGAAGGAAAGAATATGTTTACTGAAGAAAATAAACAAATGGGCAAACTATTGACAGCGGCTGGTGACAAGCATTGACATCCCCCAGTCTCCTCATCCTGGTGTATAATTGTGTGCTTAGTTCTGTGCCTCCTCTGGAGCCTTCTTTTCTCAGTGAATATCAAAGTCTAGATTTATTGCTCTCTGACTCTCCAGCCAGCTCACATACGCTATAGCAAAAACATCTCTTTTAAAAAAGAGGTGATGTGTGTCATGTGCCGAGTGAACTGCTGAAGTGACTCCAGATGCCGATTGTCATTAGGAAGAAGGTACTCTGTGTCCTAGAAACATTTGTTGTTCTGTTACCTTTAAAAACCAGGTCACTGTGACAGACAATGGTAGTCCCCCCCGATCGACCATTGCAAGAGTCATTGTGAAGATCCTTGATGAGAATGACAACAAACCTCAGTTCCTGCAAAAGTTCTACAAGATCAGACTCCCAGAGCGAGAAAAACCAGAAAGAAACTCCAAACGAGAGCCCCTCTATCGTGTGGTAGCTACAGACAAAGACGAAGGTCCCAATGCCGAAATCTCCTACAGCATCGAAGAGGGCAACGAGCATGGCAAATTTTTCATTGAGCCCAAAACTGGAATGGTTTCATCCAAAAAGTTTTCTGGAGCTGGAGAATATGATATTCTTTCAGTGAGTTATAATTCGTTTTCAAATTTCTTATGTGCTTTGACCTGGTGTATCGTCCTTTATAATTTTATCTCTATTCAGGAAAAGGCTTCAGTGTTTGTGATCCAGGAATTAAGCCATGCTTGACAGTATTTGATGAGTATGGGTTTATTTTTTTTTTCCTTTTCAATTGTTATTTCAGATGCCTATTATTTATATGACTTAAGGTCATGGAGCGATTGCTCTTTTGATTAGGTAAAAATATCAAGTGCTCGAAATGGGCTCCATGTAACACTGAACACATTCATGGTTCAGTTATGGAATGTAAGTTCTGACCTGCTGTTTTGACACCCTGCGCCCGTATTTTATAGATTAAGGCAGTTGATAATGGCCGCCCTCAAAAGTCATCAACCACTAGACTTCACATTGAATGGATCTCCAAACCCAAACCCTCGCTGGAGCCAATTTCATTCGAAGAATCATTTTTTTCTTTCACCGTGATGGAAAGTGACCCCGTTGCTCACATGATTGGAGTGATATCTGTCGAGCCCCCGGGCACACCTCTTTGGTTCGACATCATTGGTAAGCAATCCTCTTAGTCTCCCTTGTGCCATTGTGCGTGTGTAGGCAACGCGGAGGAGACCCTGCATGTGATTTTTGGATTTTGTACACATCTCAGAACCTAAAATTGGGAGCAAGACCGATAGGTGGAGAATTTGTATAAGCTAATATTTTGATTGCCAATTTTTTCACAGTATGTATCATATATTAAACTTATTTAAGGTAGGCATTCTTTATCCACCAAGTCATTAATATAAAAGTGAGATTTGTTTTGTTTTTTTTAAAGCAGTGCATCAAGGAGTTACATAGAAACCTAAATATTTGGTTCCAAAGAATAGCTTCTTAGCTTTTTGTTTTTTTTCCTTCTATTTGTCAGAAGGTTGTGCACTCACCAGAGAGACAAAAGCACCTCCCCGTGGGACGTGGTCATGCCTTGATCTTGTCTCCTCCATTTCTCCCTCTTGTCAGAATTTTGGGAATGTACATACACACATGGGCCAGGCATGTCTCTCGAACTACTGGGGCCAGGATTCAAACTGCTTGGGAACCGGCTGCCCATGGGCCAGCTCAGCTTCTGAATTTTAATTGTTGATGCATAATGTACGGCATACTATTTTCAGTGAATGTGATCAACACATTTAAAGTAGCTATAATTATATACGATTGTCATGTGTCCATATTTTATAGGAATAAGCTTAACAAATTTTGGGTTGTACCACTTTTAACCGTAGCACATGTTAGACTCGGCTGTCTCGTGGGCTAAGGCCTCAGGGGAGGCCTGGATCCATCTCTCAGCCCACTGTACAGCTGTGACCTCACCTCCTTGGGAGGCTGACACAGCAAGGTCCTGTCTGAAACACCATATGCACATACACTCTCACACCACCAAAACTACTAAATCCTTCTATTTGTCAGAAGGTTGTGCACTCACCAGAGAGACAAAAGCACCTCCCCGTGGGACGTGGTCATGCCTTGATCTTGTCTCCTCCATTTCTCCCTCTTGTCAGAATTTTGGGAATGTACATACACACATGGGCCAGGCATGTCTCTCGAACTACTGGGGCCAGGATTCAAACTGCTTGGGAACCGGCTGCCCATGGGCCAGCTCAGCTTCTGAATTTTAATTGTTGATGCATAATGTACGGCATACTATTTTCAGTGAATGTGATCAACACATTTAAAGTAGCTATAATTATATACGATTGTCATGTGTCCATATTTTATAGGAATAAGCTTAACAAATTTTGGGTTGTACCACTTTTAACCGTAGCACATGTTAGACTCGGCTGTCTCGTGGGCTAAGGCCTCAGGGGAGGCCTGGATCCATCTCTCAGCCCACTGTACAGCTGTGACCTCACCTCCTTGGGAGGCTGACACAGCAAGGTCCTGTCTGAAACACCATATGCACATACACTCTCACACCACCAAAACTACTAAAGAAAAATGTTCTATCTATGTTTTTTTGTTTTGTTTTGTTTTATTTATCACATTTTCAGTAAGAAAGAGGGGTCATTTCATTCTCCAAAGAACTTATTTGCTTATACTAATTCTTTTTTTTTTTTTTTTTTGTCATTTAACTTAGTTTAGGCATAGAATCTAATACCCTATTAAACATACATTACAGAAGTTCACATTAGACTTGGGCATCTTAGATTTTTTTTTCATTCTTTTTCTTCAGAATATTTTATTTCCAAGGATACTCACAGTTAAAAATGGATTTGCGGTTCTGTACTTAGAACGACACTTGTGTTTCCCTGTTTTAACCCTTCAACCATGTTACCCCTGATGCTCTTTCAACATGGTGAGGGCGATGGGATGCTGGCTGCAGAGACCACGGGGTGCCTGAGTCTGGCTTTCCTTCCTGATCGTCCACGTTAGACTGTGGCCTGCTCTGCCTGCTTTTGGTCATTGTATGAAACTGTTGGTGTCATCAACACCTATGAAACCATGATAGCTTTGCATTAAGGGAGAAAAAAAGATTGTTTACATTGTTAACTGTAGTCACAATGCTTGGCTTTCTGTTAATTTTTATTACATTTCCAGATCAGCAGGCTGCCGTTGTGCAGGATCTGACGTCGCCGTGTAATCCTTACCGTGTTTGGAACAGCTTTGACTGACTGTCTTCTTCTGTGCTTGCTTTCCATGCTTTCCTGCTGCTTTTGGGCTGTGCAGGAGAAACACTTGCTAGAGAAGTTTTTTACATCTTTCAGATGACTTGTGACCTGAACTGTACAGCAGAAGGTATCTGCTGAGCTCACATAACTTGCCTGAGCTTATGAGATCTAAAATAAAAGCATTGATTTTTTTTTTAACGTTTTTATTTCCAGTGATGGTTTTTCATTGCTTTTTCTATCCATAATGTGCACGTGGTCACCTGTTTGAATTGTAAACATGTTGCATTTTCACTACATGTCTAGATCCATAATTTTAGGTTTGATAAGACATTGCATGTGTGTGTTTAGTTTTTTGTTTGTTGGTTAGATTTATTAGTAGGACATCATGAGATTAAGATGTTATGTTCATTCCATTTCATTTCATTGATTACTATCTCAAGGTCAATGGATTTGAAAAGATAGTTTTATCTAGAATGTAACTGAGAATTCATTTGGATGTTAGCATCACAACTTTGACTTCAGTATACTTTGCATTTGACAAAAATAGGAAAAAAATTTTTTGAAAATAGTATATAGTAGCCAAGACTAATCGAAGTTAACTGATACCATTTTTTTTTTCAGAATTGGCATTTATTTTTGATAATTATTTTACTAGAGCAGTATTCTCCAAGTATCAAAAAATATTTTTGGAATAGTCAAGTTTTTAAATACCCAATGATGTTTTATATAGCTACTGAGATAAAAATTAAAGAGTTTGCAACTCTTGGAAAACCAAAACATTGCAAAACTCACTGACATATTAGCAGGACTTTTCCTCGTCCACAGTTGTTGCTCTCTCGCTTCTCTCAGTACCTTTTTTTGACGACCAGTTTTGCTTTAGTAAGCATTGTTTTCCTAATCGGCCACCCTTTTGTTGTCTTTCAAAACCTTGCTCCTTGGAACTTCTTTTATCAGAAGTTACTTTTTTTTTTTTTTTTCCTTTCCTCACTGCCATCAAGTATTAGTCACAAAAGAAGTGACAGATTTTCACCTGGTGACCAGTTGTTACTTTGATTTATCTTCACTTAAACTAGGTGGCAACTATGACAGTCACTTTGATGTGGACAAGGGCACCGGAACTATCATTGTTGCCAAACCTCTTGATGCAGAGCAGAAATCTAATTATAACCTCACAGTCGAGGCCACAGACGGAACTACCACCATTCTTACTCAGGTATGTGAATTTCCGATGATGCGTTTATTCATCAGAGGAAGATCGAAGTACATTTGGATTTGAGGGTCCATAGACAATAGGTGCAGGTCATTGTGCCCCAAGAGGTCCTAAAGTCAGAAGTCAGTACGTTGATGTAGTTTACACACAGAAACCCAAGGGGTTTTTCTTAGGGAAAGGAAATTAGCTGCAAATCCTAATTTAAGTTGTTTATATCACTAAACACCTTTGCAAATTTTGACAGAAGACTTAAAAAAAAAACTCACATTGTTACCATAATACCACCAAAGTCTTCTAATTTTATACTCACTTTTGAACTATATTAATATAGTTTATCACTGTGGAGGAAGTCATTTTCATTAAAGCTGGTTAAAGTAATTAATCTTTTAAATCCCTTTATTTTTTCATTTTCCCTTGGCTACTTTTACTAGGGCTGTGTAAAAGGACTGATCAAATTATCTTAATAGTTTCTTTAACACCTTTATTTGTTTCTTTCTAATGATTAACAGGTGGCCAGATGACTGGGATTTCAAACCTAAATGTTAAAGCCCTATGAATTAAATATAAATTCTGTTTTTATTAATTCTCTTTGATTATCCGTGTGGGCTGTTGGAGCTGTCCAAAAACGAAGATTTCTGGTTGAATCATCATGAGGTTTCAGAAGGAGGCAGAAAGTCATTTTTTCATTTCCTTACTTTCTTTTAATGCATTTAATTTAGCTTATAATTTCTTATTTATATTTGATTGATGTACGTCTTTTTGTTACATTGTGGTTGTTTTAAAGCATCTGCTTTGTATGTGGTGGCCACGTCAAGGCTATTACTGTATACATTGTTTTCAACAAAGAACCTTACATTCTTTTGTCAAATTATTGCTTTAAAAGCTCAACAGTGGGAAACAAAACAGGCAAATAACCTGCCCTCTTTTTTTTTTATGTAAAGAGAGATTTTTGCTCTACGGCACGTGTGCTCACCAGAGAGACAGAAAGTGAGAAATCACCTGCCTGGGGGATAGCCACCCCACAATCCCTTCTCCTCCATTCTCCTCTCAGTCAGGAT